CCCCAAAACCCCAAAACCCCAAAACCCCAAAACCCCGCAAATAAAAAATCAACGATGAAATTACAAATAATTAATTTTAATCTACATTAAATTTACCGCCTAATAAATGAGTTAATATCCGCCTACTACTAGATCTACCAGAAGAAGCAACATGCAAGACTAGCTCTATAGTTCACCACCAAAGCAATCCTAAAGATAGGCATAGAACAAGACAAATATAAAAATTGAAGTCAAGATTGAAAGTGAAAATACAAGATAAAAAAAGAATTATTAGAGCAAGGATACATAAAAAATGCAAATCAAGGAGGAAGATACTCGCAGATCAGAAAAGCTTTTAGGAAAGGGAAAGAACGTCAAAAAAGAATCACCATAAGTAGAATATAGAACTAGAACTCACGAAGTAAGAGGAAGATCACAAGCTAAAATTGAGGAGAATACATAAAAAGCTGTTAAAAGACATACTAAAGAAAAAGCTTAAGATCTATCAAAATCTATTAAACAAGAACCTTATTTGAAGAGACAAAAGGTATCACCCTCGAGATCACATTCAAAGGGAGGAAAATCAACAAAAAGTACTAAATCAAGGAATTAGCCATGTCTCACTTAAGTCTAGACTACACGATCTACTAGAAGGAATCCTGCTTCAGAGATTATTAGTATTGAAACAAGCCATATTATATCCAAAGCTCTGAAACAGCATGATAAAAAGAAATAGGAAGCTAAGTATTCCCAGAAGAGTTAAAAGACAACGAGAAATGCAAAATCAGCTTAACCTTCAACTAAGTAAAGTCAGAAAACTAGTAAAGCTCCTTCTAGAAGAGGAAATGAAAAAATCATGGAACAGACCTTTTCATAAAAAGCTAGAAAGGTATACAGCTAAGCAGTTTCTAGGAAAGATTCAGCATCTCCTTTGAAATCTCAAAATACCCGCAGGAGTATCAAGAAAGAAGCATCTCCAGTTTCAAGTAAAAAAGCCTCCAAAAACATATCTGCAGAATTCAAGAGAGTTATGCCAAAATCAAAAATAATTGATGAGTTCGAGCTTTTTGAATAATAAATGATGGAGTTTGAACAATAAAATATTAGTAAGAGAAATAAGAAAAAGGTCATAGCTAAAGATGATGATATTAAAATGCTAGAAGATGAAATCGATAAATTCAAGAATCAATAATAAGTTCCAGTAAAGATTGAATAAATCAAACCATAAATTTCAGCTTATTAGGAAATGAGTCTTAGCCAAATTATTGGCACTCCAATTAAGAATAAACCAACTCCTACCTCAATCTATAATACTGCCTAGATAAAAATAATAAAAGATAAAGATGTGAATGCTGGCTTTAAAAAGAATGAATAATATGCTAAAGAAGCTGAAATCAAAATAGAATACCGTGAGGAATTCAAATAAGAAGAAGATCAGTAAATGATTGATGAAACTATATCACAAGCAAATTCTATTAAAATTACTATGAACTAGACACAAGCGATTCCTGAAAATATAAGATCACTTTTAACACTTAATTTACTTTCTAAAGAAACTTTAGAGATGGTTAGAAGAGCATTTTCAAATAAACCCACTCCTTCTTTGAATACTTTCAATCTTGGAAATAATCATCGTGGCCCATTTAATTACTCATACTCTCAAAAAAGGATTAATTCTGATAAGCCAACACCATGTCTATAATCAAAGCTCTAAGAACTAAGACATCCATCAAACATTAATGGAGGAATTTTAGGTGGACTAAATACAATTAGTGAAGCATCATTTATCGCTAATAATGGTACTGTATCAAGAATGGATAATAGTATCTGCAATACAGCTAGTAAACCTAAGCCTGTTAACATGTTTGAATTTTTCTAGCCACCTGAACTCAGTGAAACCTTTTCACCATTCAAGGATAATATAGATAAGCCTCAAGAAGATAGAGAAATGGAGGATGCTAAATCTGAAGATTCAGTGGAAATCCATGATACAAACCTAAATAATCATTAAAATGAGGAAAATAGATAGATTCAAGAAGTTATCTAAGATATAAGAGAAGAAAGGAGAGATGATACTAGAGAAAATTCTTTTGGTGAAGCATCTCCTGACTGTGATATGCAAAATCTAGATTAGGAAGCTATTGAAAATAGTAATGGTTTCATTGTTAGAAACTTAGAGCAACCAGTAATTACACCTTTAGAGGTGAAAACAAACGAAATCTTGAATTCACATTCAATGAAAGATAAGTACTTAGATCTATGTGAGATGAATCAAATTTCTTTGGTTCTTCCAGTTCACTACAAGAGTCTTCTCAATCTTTTCAGCTAAATGGATCAAACAATAAATTTTCTGAGGAATAGAAAAACTCCTTTAAGTTTTATCAACATTTCAAAAACAGTTGAATAATCATTAAAAAGAAAATTTACTTCACATCACTTATAGCAAATACTGTTTGTTGCTCCTTATATGTATAATCATTACTTTGAAGCCAAATCTAGAGGATATGAGCTAATGATTGAAATTCCAAAGAACATTCGACAAATTATTGAGAATCAGAAAATCTAACCAACTAATGAAGCCTTTGATTAATAGATGCTCTCAGATCTTCTAGAAAAGAGAAAGGATCTTTTCAAGCAAGAACTTTATAATATAACTTACAAGCACTACCTTGTATCAAAGAAGTAGCACTAAGATTTTACTTCACATTAAGAATAAATTGAACTAATTGATCCACTGAAAGACAATTAATGGCCAATCTTCTTTGATCCACATAGTGTAGATGAAATTCCTAAAGCCCCAATGAAAGAAATGCCAAAAACTCATAAATCTCAAACAATCACTGAGTTCATCAATCAAACTAACGTAAATACTCCAATGATTTCAACATAGTTCGGTTTGAACAAATCTTAACAAGAGACAAAACTTAGAATAGATATTTAAAACTAATCATACACCAAAGAAGGACTAAATATGACAAGTGAGGCGGTCCAACTAAAGTAAGATTCTCCAATAATTTAGAAAAAAACACCTACTTCAGCTGATGAAATAGATTCTTAAAGTACTGGCTTCGCTTGTGCAAAGACTTAAATAAGTTACATATAATAGCAAGCTACATAATACTTATCTCAAGATCTGATTCAACTAATCAAATAAAAAGAAGATATCATCACAAAGAGAAAATAGCGAAACCTTGATTTGATGAATCTACAAGATTTCAGTAAAAAAATAGAGACTTATCAAAAGTTGGCTGGAGCAATCAAAATCTTTTTCCTCACTAGTAATGACGCTAATGTACTGCCCTTCAACTAACTCTTAGAAAACTTGGAAAATAAGATTAAAGGTTAATTCAATTCAAGAGGTAATACATATGCTTTATTTAAATATTTTTCATAGAGTTCTTATTGAACCAGATTAATAAGCTTGCTTAGATTCTACCTGATTGGATTTAAATATGCTAAACTGCCAGAGGAAGTTTTGTTAAACTCAAAAACAAAAAAATTCAAGCAGCTGATCTTAATACCAAAATTGAAAAATACTTAAGATAAAACTAAGATTGATAGAAGCATTTCTCTGAATTCTTTAAGAATTAAATGACATTGCCTTGATGAAATAGATCTAGCCAAATATATTAGGGATCTAACCTAAGTTTTGAGATGAGTTAAAGATTTAAATATCTGATAATTCCATCGCTTGGTAAGATTGAATTCATCATTAGCTGTCGTTTTGATTTTCAATTAATGATTCTTCAATACCTATACATAAAACACCGGGGTTTTGGGGTTTTGGGG